CTGGAATATATTAAAAATGTCACCTTCACTTAGGGATGGGTTTAGTCTCCTTGTTGAGTAAGCACACACAAACACACATGCAATTATACACACACAGTAATCTTGGGCTAAAGATAATTTTTGCTCCTGTAAATCTGACTCACCATATATGTTCTTGGGGAGACTGCTCAATTAAATCTTTTCCCCACAATGATTTCCCTTCCCTTATAGGGAATATTAAAATATATATTTATATATTTTTAAAATAAATTTAAATATTAATATAAAAATGTAACAGATCTTGGCAGAGAACATACCTAATAAATCATTACTCCTGTTTGATCTTATTAAGGTACATCCTTTAGATTGCTAAATTTTATATGGGTTTGAAAAACATGCATTTTAAAAAATGCATCTGCATTTTAATTTGTTTTCCTTCCTTTTTACTGTTGGACCTATGGCAATAATAATTTGATTATTTTGAAGATATATATTTAACAAAGAAACAAAATACTCATATATTTTCTGTTGGTAGTTAAGATGTTTAACTTACAAAATTGTAGGCTTCTTGACAGTACTTTTTATCTTTTTTATTTATATATTTTTATTTTTCTCAACTAATGAAAATTATGGAGAGATTTATGTATCATTGTAAGTTCACTTTGACTGCAAAATATACAACAACATACTTAGGCTTTTGATTAACTAATACCAGGAACCCCAATAGTACAAACCCATTTTGCAAGGTTTGCTGAATTATAAATCCCAGAATCCTCAAAGTGATTGAAGTTCAGGCTAAGTAATATATTGTATCTTGATACCATTGGTTCCTCATCTTTGGTATAATAGATAAAATAATAGATGTAGAAAAATTGGGATCAGTAGCTGTTTATTTTCCTTTTGTTTTAAGTTTGTTTTTCCAAGTTCTTTAATATTTCACAGCTTTCTAAGCAGCATTGTATTATATTTAACTTGCTAAAATAGTAAGAAACTTGCACATTTTATATCCCCATTTTTCCCTGTTGTGGTTGCTACTGAATTTCAAAGCACTCTGAGGGTGTAGGTTATGCACTTATTAAATTTCCTTTTTTCCAGTAGGAAACAATCTGAATATTAAGTCTAATCTATGAACCATTTTCCCACATGTAATTTCCATATCTGATGCCCTTCCCTTCAGGTCTCAGCACCTTTTGGAAGTACGGTAGGAATTATAGAATGTCAAATTATTCTATAAAGTCAAGTGATAAAAAATACTTTGGTGTAATGAGCACTTCAACATGAGCACACAGTCAAAGTAATTGACCTCATGGGATAAACCAAGGAGTAGGTTCTCAAATATAATGTGTATCATTATAATGTATGCCATCATTTTAGGCCCACGTCTACTGTACCCCTGACCCAGGTAAACCTGGCAATTTCTCATCTCTTATTCATAACTCAAATCTTCAACATAGAACTACTGGAAACTTCCTTCTTTTTAGAAGAGTAGATAACTGAATTGTTTGTATTCTTCCTATTCTTTCAATTCTCTAAATTCATCTTTCCTTTTTCATGCCAATGTTATTAAGTTTTTAATTTTTCTTAAGTTCAAGATTCATAGCAGTTAATTTGGAAATTGAATATTGACTACAGAAATATTTGTCATTAGAAGTCTATTTGGTATGTGTTATCAGTAAAAAAAACAAACAAGCATTTGCTTCAGTATAATGGTGCAAAGGTGCAATTGAATAATTTAATATAGCCCGTATATTAAATATCTGACTAAGCTTTACTAAGCATTTAGGGCTCAGAACTACCGTGTTTTCCTGAAAATAAGATTGGGTCTTATATTAATTTTTGCTCCAAAAGACGGATTAGGCCTTATTTTCTGGTTAGGTCTTATTTTTGGGGAGTATTAAATGCACCCCTCTGGCTGACTGGGGCTTATTTTGGGGTTAGGTCTTATATTATCAGCATTCTGAAAAATCATGCTAGGACTTATTTTCTGATTGGGTCTTATTTTCAGGGAAACAGGGTACATTTGTCATTTGCACATGTCAGGCAGAACGTAAGTGTTTAATTGATCAAGAATGATATATTTAGTATTTTGAATCGCTGTGTCTTAAATGTTATGAGATGCAACTGAGGTCTCATACAGATCTCTGTTTTGGGTCAGGAAAATTTTCTATTATAGATTTATAAAATGTTAAAATTGTCAGAAGTCCTCTATCCCAGTTTATCTACTTTTATGTTATCTCATAAACAAATCAGAACTAAAATTTTGTCTTGAGGTAAATTGAATCCTCATTGTAGGTTACATTCTATGATTTCATCATTGCTGTTCTAATAATGGTTTGTCAATGGTTTCACTATGGGATTTTATTGTTTTAGTATTCAATAATATTCAATAAGAAGATTCTATATTCTTTACTTTACTTTATTCAAATTTCTATACCGCCCTTCTCCTTTCGGACTCAGGGCGGTGAACAGCCAAGATAAAAACATCTATACAAAACATCACAGTTAAAAAATTCTGTAAAGTAATGATTCATGCAAGCAACTTAAATAAATTTCATGTTCCTATAGTTCACCATACCAACCCAAATTTGGGTATGCTACTAATTTGACATGATTATTAGATTAAAAAATATTTTAAAAAGATATTGACGAGTCTATCTTAAAAACTTTCACAATGTAACTTATATAAGACTATTTGAAGTATGCTGAGCATGGTGTTATCTTTAGTCCTATTGTACTGAGGGATAATTATCAGCTTAGTTATTCTCCATTATTCTAGTACCATGTATCAAGTATCATGTTTAACATCTGTTCAAATCTGAATGTTGGCAAACTCCTCATGGTAGGTTACATACTATGATTTCATCATTGCTGTTCTAATGATGATTTGTCAATGATTTCACTATGCAAATTTCTTATTTTAATATTCAATGATTCATAATAATATTCTATATTCTGTAAAGTAATGATTCATGCAAGCAACATAAAGCCACCAAAAGTAGAATAATTATTTTTCATACTGTAAAGACCATAGAAATTTCATCACATTATAGATACATATTCATTCCTGGTAAAATAGCATAAAAGATAGACCACTTGAGTCACAGAAATTGAAGCATCAAATAATCCACTACATTTCTTATCATCTCATATTTTGGTGTAGAAAGCATTAAAAAATAATACCTTGCTGAATGTCTTCTGGGAGTTGTGTTAGGGGTATTTCAAAGGATTTCACAAGTTAACTGCATGGACACTTGTTGCTTGTCTGCCTTTCCTGGAATTCTGCCAACAGAATTTTTTTTTTTTAATGCTGTCTTTTGTAATGAATGGGAAAATTCCAATGCCAAACAGTTAAGACAGGAAAGAGTTAAAAGAAGTAAGAAACATTTAGTTTGATCTGAACATTATTTTGAACTTTGAGATTTTTGTTTGCTTTAGTTTTTGTTTTTATCCTTCACTATTTCCTTCTGTCTGGTGTATGTGCTGGACTAGCAGCAACTGAGATAATTCATTAAGAGGCAATTTGTGTATTTGCGGTTCTTATTTCTCTTTTTATGTTTAGCTTCATCTCTGGTTTAGATTCTTAACCTTTGTATATAATAAAGACTTCCATTTATTCATTTCATTTCATCTCTCTTTTTCTGAAAATATTTTAATTTTATTACATATTTCTTCATTCCACTCCTAGTTAGATTACATAAAATGAAGGGAGGCAGAAGCAGGAAGCTGAGTAGTTTATTTTCTTGAATAAACCAATGAAGAGAGGGATTTAAGCAAAATAAATGAATGGTGGTAATATAATGAACAAATTTTCCACAAGAATGTTCAAGAGTGTTGCGGCTATTGAATCTACAAGCACCTTCATTGCACCACATAAAGTTCATCATTTCATGTCTATTTATATACAAGTACACACCCATTACAATCTAGTATCATCATACCCAGCATGGCATAACCCTTCTCTAATGTAAAGTACAGTGGTCAAACTCATGTTTAAAGAGCTGACTGTGAATTATGAGAAGTGAATTCAACACATCTTGAGAACATCAGTTTAGGGAAAGCTGAAATAAATAATACTAGGAACTTGTTATGCTGAACAGGCAAGAATACTAATCTTGTAAATTAAAAATAATCAGATTGTCAACCCTGGATTACATCTTTTACTTTGGATCTTTAGGGCTGCCACATTTACTGCATTTAGCCACAGATATGATATACAGTATATTGTAAGATCATCTGAGATAGTTTTGGGCTTGTAGATTCTATAAACTAGGGTATGATTCTATGCTTCTTTGAAGGCTGGATCCATTATCTATCTATCTTCTTCTAGGGAGAACATGGATCATTGGTTTTAATATAAGAGGTGCTTTCTTGAAGAATATGCTATGACAGTTGCACCATCCTAAAGATATGAGTCAAGACTTGAATCATCCACCCTTGTCAACTCCCATCTATTCTAATCTTTGTTGGGAAGATTTTAGGTAAAGTGCTGGGATATAAATTGTAGAATATACTACAAGAAAGGTTGGTCCTACCTGAACACTCTTTCTCATGGCGCTGGATCAGAGAATGGGTGTTGCTCTCTCTCTTCTGCCTGGAGACTGAGCCTATTATCATTTTTGGCGGTGCCTCCTTGCCTGGTGACTCTCCAGTTCGGCGAAGGCATAGCGATGATGAGACTTGTGATCTGTGAAAATAGGAGCCCCTCCCTGAACAGATGCTGGGCGGGCTGGATTCTCTCATCCAGCACCCTGAGAAAGAGTGTTCAGGTAGGACAAACACTCTTTCTCCATGGCGTTGGCAAGAGAGTATCCAGGAGTGGTACTTACCAAAGCCGGCGTGTTCTATGGGCGGGAAGCAATCTGGTCCTCAGTCACCCTTCAGTGTGGACCCTCTGGAAGAGTCACCATCCAAAGGCAGGATCAATTCCTGGGCCCTATGGAACCAGGAATTCACCTTGGGTATGAAGGAGGGGTGCAACCACAGGACCACCCTGTCTGGATGGAATATGCATAAGTCTTTCCTCATAGAAAGGGTTGCCAGTTCCAAAATCTGGCCGATGTAATGGCCACAAGGAAGGCCACTTTACATGTGTGGAAGCGCAGCCTGGCCAATCTAATTGGCTCAAAGGGTCCCCTGGTGAGGGTATTCAAAACCTTCATCAGATCCCAGATAGGATATCTGTGGACCACAGGAGGCCTCAAATTGGTAGCACCCCTGAGGAACCTGTGCACGGTGGGATGTTTAGTGAGAGACTCCAGACTCCCACATGACAAGACTGAAGACAGTGCTGCCACCTGTCTTCGTATAGTATTAGGTGTTAACCCCTTGTCCAATCCATCCTGGAGAAAATCCAGGATGTGAGCCACGGATACCGAAGATGGATCAGTGCCCATCCTGGAGCACCAGGTGCAAAAGACTCGCCAGGTAGCATCAAATACCCTATCGGTGGATGGCCTCCTAGAGGCCTGGATGTTCTGGATGACCCTGGAGGAAAGATTGTCTTGACTCAGGATCCTCCACTCAATTGCCAGATGGTCAGCTGGAGTCACTGTGGGTCTGGATGGATTAGAGCCCCCTGGATGAGGGAAATCCTGTCCGGAGGAATCCTCCAGGGCTGGACCACCGACAGGTTGACCAGGTCAACAAACCATGGTCTCCTGGGCCAATGGGGGACTAATAGTAATATCTCTGCCCTTTCTGTCAACACCCTCCTGATCACCGCTGGGATTAGAGGAGGGAGGAAAGAAGTACAGAAGCCCCCAGGGCTAGGGGGTGTGGAGGGCATCAACCCCTTCTGCCCCCAGTGATGCAAACCTGCTGAAAAACCATGGCAGTTGAGTGTTGCCAGGTGTCGCAAATAAGTCTAGGACTGGCACACTGAAGCGCTTTGTCAGGTCCTGAAACAGGGTGGGATGCAGGCGCCATTCTGAGGCAGTCTGCCTGCTCATTTTGCACCCCTGAAATATGATCTGCCCTTATGGACAGAAGAAATGTCTCCACCCAGAGCCCCAGATGTTCAGCCTCCTGCATGAGAGACATTGAGTGGGTACCCCCTTGGCGATTGATGTGGGCCTTGGTGGCCATGTTGTCCATTAACACCAAAAAATGTTTTCCAGCCACAGTACTCTGGAAGTACCTGAGAGCCAGGTGTACTCATCTGAGCTCCAGCCAATTGATGTTGTGGCTCAGGTCCATCTGAGTCCACCGGCCCTGAGCTATCAATGATTGGAGATGAGCCCCCCCAGCTGAAGAGGCTGGCATCCATTGTGATGACTAGACAGCTGGGCTCTTTGAACAGGCATCCCCTGTCGATGGCCTGGGACATCCACAAGTGGAAGGACCATAATACCTTCTGTGGAATCCTGACCCTGAGATTTGAATGGCTCCTGCCTGACCTTTGGTAAGGCAAGAGGAACCACTGTAGTGTCCTGGCATGTAGACATGCCCATGGTACGATGGAAATACAGGACACCATCTTGCCCAGGAGTTGGAACAGTAGAGACAGAGATAGTGTACCTTCATTCTGGATGTGCCTCATTAAGGTCCGCAAACTGTCTCGTGTGTCCGGTGAAAGGAAGACCGTGCACAGCGAAGTGTCAATGAATGCCCCCAGATGTAGTAATCAGGAAGTCAGTGAGAAATGACTTTTTTTGTGTGTTGATTGAAAAGCCATGGTCCTATAGTACCCTGATTGTCATTTGTAGATCTTCCTCTGCCTGGGGCTCAGAGGAGGATTGGATCAGGATGTCATCCAGATAACACTGGATCTTGATCAGTATAGACCACAGGTGGGCCGCCAACGCTGTCAATACTTGGTGAATATCTGAGGTGCCGATGATAGGCCGAACGATAATGCTTTGTATTGGTAGTGCTTGTCTACATAAGAGAACCAGAGGTACTGCTGGTGAGAAGGCAGAATTGGTATGTGCAGGTACACCTCTGTCAAGTCTATAGAGGTGAGGAAGTTGCCCCTCGGATAAATCTCCAATATTGACTGGAAGGGCTGCATCTTGAAATGTTGGTAGGTGAGGTATTAGTTCAGCTGTTTTAAATGTAGAATCACTCTCAACTCCCCTGAGCTCTTTTGGAGCAGGAACAAGATTGAATAAAATCATCGCCCCCATTGCTCCTGAGGAACCAATTGAATGGCCTAGATATCCAGCAGATGCTGAATTGCCATTTCCATCAGGCCTCTCTTTGTCGTGTCCCTTGACACAGGGCAACGTATAAACAACATCAGGGGTGTTGAGAGGAATTTGAGTGCCAAACTGAACCTCACTGGGTTGAGTACCCAGTTGTCCGATTTTATGGCCTCCCAGAGCAAGGAGGTCTGATTAAAAAATGACGCGGCAATTGATGCCTTAATGACCCAGGCAGGTGCTTGGTGTGCTCTGCGAAGAGCTAATTCTACCTTTTTGTCTTCTGCCTTAAGGCAGTCAATTGTGTTGGTGGGTATAATAGTGTCTGAAGCAAGAGCAGTCACCGGCCCATCCACTGTCAGGATCTGCAGGACCTCTGAAATGTCAGGGGCTACATTTTAAAGGCTCCTTTCAGTCTCAGTCGGGAGAATCCCCATTCAAGGACCCCATTGCCTTTGGATAACATCCAAAAAGAGCTTGGGTGAAGGAATGACTTCAGCAGTAATGGTCAGCTCTGAAAAGAATATATTTATTTATTTTATTTTATTTTATTTATTTATTTTGTCAATCGTATGTAACAGGTAAAAGTATAAACATAATTTGGATACAGGAAAAGAGTAAGTAATATGACCTAAATCTGTTGGTGCCCTACCTGTCTCTGGAGCAGGATCACCGCCCAGATTGGCTGTGCAGTAATGATTTGAAAAGGTCAGGCCCTCATCGTCTGACATATTCAGTACCTGGTCCTCCTCACCAGATGATTCTTTAGTCTGGATGGATGGATCCTGAGGATGAGTCTGTTGGAAGTTGCCCCAGGGACCCTGTGTTATGGGTGCCAGGTGCTGGACCTGACTCTGGGGAACAGGTCATGTCAGGGATCACTGACTCCCTTGCTGCAGGCCTGCAGCTATCCCCTGCGCTATTGCCTGGGAAATTACCAATTTTAGGTGATCAGAAATCTCTGATCCAGTCTCTTTCCTAGGGCGCAGCCCGGTAGCCGTTGGAGTGAATGATGCCTCAGGAGCTAGTCTTGGCCTTGAAAGAGGCACTTGACTTCCAGTACCAGTTGCAGACAGATTCAAATCTGCATTGGCAAAAACCTCAGCATTTCCAAAAGCCTCCAATGGAATAGGAAAAAGCAGCTCTCTGGCGCCATCTAGCAACCAAGCACTATAACAGGCTGGCTGAGAGAGGCTTATGTTGTTGCAAGATTGCAACGATTGCTCTTCAAATGGGTGGGAAATGACAGCTCCTCCCTGGGGAGCGTTCCCAGAGCCCTGCAATTTAGCTGCCTTTTCAGCATTGGCCATTTCCCTCTCCATGGCCTTTTGTTGCCTTCTGGCATCTTTTTCTGCAGATGCCTTCTGGTATCTTTTTCTGCAGATGCCTTCTGGCATCTTTTTCTGGCTTCTTTTGGAGCCCCTGCCGCTTGGATGGGTAGAAACATAGCTTTTGGGCTGCGCTTCTCTGACAGTCATTTCCTGGCTGAATGAGTTCTGGGTGTCACTTGGGAAGGGAATAGAAAATTCCCTCTTATCCCCGCCAGGCTGCTGAGACTGGTGACTGGGAGAGGGAACTGTGGGCACTATTTTTCGGCATGGCAAGGCAGACTGGTTCTTAAAAACAACTGTTGCGGTGGCTTTTCAAGTAAAGGAGATTGTGTTAGCAGTTGACAGTATGTCCGGGTGAAGCTGAACAGGGACTGAGCAATGTGGGAAGATGCCTGGGGCCTCGGCTCAAATTTTTGGGAGCTGGATGGTTAGTCTAGCCCCCCTCCACTGACACAGGAATGGCAGGGACCTTGGCTAATTGCTGGCCAGAGCGCCAGCTTTCTGGAGGACCAGAAAGCTGCATGGATTGCTTGTCTGTGATCAAAAGTCAGTTATTCCCCTTGCTCACTGTTCTGATGTAAATTGGAGCGAATCCAGGAATCTAAATTGAGTAAGTGGTCATGTGTCTCATCTGGCTGAAGACTGAGCCAAACTGGGGAGTTACCAGGCAAGGAGGCGTTACCAAAAATGATGACAGGCTCAGTCTCCAGGCAGAAGAAAGAGAGCAACACCCACTCCTCCACACCTATTCTCTCTTCCCAGCGCCATGGAGAAGTATGTGGATTTTTTCAGTTGGGTCTCAGACTTGGGCCTGAGATTGAAGCTACATTATTCAGTCTGTTGAATGGCCTATGGCTATAGTTTTCCTAGAGTTTGCATCACTTGCAAATCCACTTGGATTTGATAGCACTGTTTTAAAATGGTTCCACTCTTATCTAGTAACCAGTTATAATTTACAGTACTATATGAAGAAAAATGATGCTGTTGATCACTAATTTTGAAATGTCATAGATCTCAGATTCCTTTCTGTTCTGGTTTAACCTCTAAATAATTCAATAGTTTTGAAATGAAGTCCAATATGCTGAAAGTACCAAGCTGAATATCATAACTCTAGGCTGAGGCAAAGATGCAGTGGATGTTTTGAATAAGTCCAGACGTGAGGTTCTGGATAAAAAGAAAAACATGTGAAACTTAACATAGCAAGATAGATGTACAATTTGGTCAAATAAAACTTTGATCAAATAAGAAATTAATTAATCCATACCAGCAAATAACAGATTAATTAATTCAACGTCGAATACCAACAAATAAGAAGTACTCAACTATACATCTACAACCTAAACCTAATCTTGCGTGGCTTTTCTCCAGTAATATTACACTACTAACCAGAGCATTCAAAACATTTGCTAGACCAATTCTCGAATACAGCTCATCTGTCTGGAATCCGCACTGCATATCAGACATTAATACAATTGAGGGTGTCCAGAAATATTTCACAAGAAGAGTCCTCCACTCCTCTACTTGAAACAGAATACCTTATGCCACCAGACTTGAAATTCTGGGTTTAGAAAACTTAGAACTACTTCAACTTCAGTATAACCTAAGCGTAACTCATAAAATTATCTGCTACAATGTCCTACCTGTCAATGACTACTTCAGCTTCCACCACAGCAATACACAAGCACACAATAGATACAAACTTAAAGTGAACTGCTCCAAACTCGATTGCAGAAAATATGACTTCAGCAACAGAGTGGTCAATGCCTGGAATGCACTACCTGACACTGTGGTTTCATCCCAAAACCCCCAAAATTTTAACCTAAGACTGTCTACTATTGATCTCACTCCATTCCTAAGAGGACTGTAAGGGGCATGCATAAGAGCATCAGTGTGCCTACCATCCCTATCCTAATGTTCCCTTTTATTTGTATTCATTTTATGCATTCAATTCACGCTTATACTGATATATATTATCTAATACATATTTGACAAAATAAATACATAAAATAAAATATAATTAATTAATTAATCAATTTAAAATGACTGGGCAATTAAAGAGCTTTATGTGATAGTTTTTTTTAAAAAAGGCAAAATATTGACACATTTGCAACTTTACTATAATCAATAGCTGTTCATTTTCACTTCTGTAGGATTTGAAGATTACAAACATATAACAAAATTCATATGCCTGATTCTATATTAACAGCCCAGTTTCTAAGCCATTGTAAAATCAGTAAAAACAGTGGAAATGAGAAGAAAAGAAAAGCATTTTAGAGAAGATCTAGTACTTCTGAAATTTCAGGTATATATTTCTTTGCTGGATATTACCATGGCAACTAAGATCTAAGATTTGTTTGACATGAGCAAAATAATTCATACTATGTTACATATTTTTTTGATTTATCAAGTGGTTGTACATTGTGTGGACTAAGAACCAGGAAGCATAAAAGTATATCCATTATTCTATACAAAGGTAATGTTACATTCCCATTGTATAAATTTAAAAGTAATTAGAAGAATGCAGCAGCAAGTACAACTGTTGTAAGTACAGTGCATGCTTTAGGCTATGCTGAAGGCATGTTACCTAACTGTTGTTTTTAAGTTCCCTTTTGGCATTATTATAACAAGATTATAACAAAAAATGTAATTTTTTTCCAACTCACACAATGTTGAATTACAGATAAAGGGAGAAGCTACAGCAGAATCTCAGAATGCCTGAACATCCTTTATTCAGCTCAATGTGTTTCAATTATTATTTTTTTTATCAAAAGTGATGTAAAATATAACAAGCATCGTAACACATATTCATGAAGAGCGGTAGGATTACAAAATGACTTATATTCTATAATAATTATAATATTCTTGAAATAAGCAGAACAATTGGCTCTTACAGTTAGAAACTCTTTCCTAAATAAAATAAGGCAGATCCATTGCAATGATTTGCACTTATAGCTTAGAAAGAGATGTATGCTGATTATT